CAAATACCTGTTCCTTTGGGATGAAAGCTGGAAGGACACTCTTGTACCTGCCCCAGACCCAGTCATCAAAAAGCAATGCACTTAAGCAGAGCCAGCATGTTTGCTGCACAAGGCTCCTGCTCACATCACCAAAACACTCCGGTGTGCCTCTGGCCATGCAGCTTCCTTGGTCCACGTCTTCATCAGCGTTTTGTAGCTTGAAAGTAGTGAAATGGGCACCATGGTGTTTCCTGAGTGAGGAGGTAAGAAACATTAAATATTAACACCATTAATGGTTGGCTGGGGGAGCAGTCAGTGGGAATATGTTTCCCTAAGGGACTGCTCCATCATTGGTACCATTGGTGTCTAACAAGAAATGAGCTTGTGTTGCAGTAATTTCCTTAACAGGGCTTATGAACATCCACTTGCCCACCAGAGGACTTGCTGAGACATGCTAGTCTTCTGTCAGATGTGGCTGAAATAGGATTGACAGTTATTGGTGGTAGGGCACTGACGAGTCCTGCAATTGCATATTCCTTGTTTTTGTCAGGACAGCAAGGAAAAATGTCAGCGAAACAATTAAAGACAGATTCTAAGAGGTCCCAGAGGATGAATTTATAATAGCATCTCCTAATATCTTTCAGGAGTACCCTGTGGCTGCTGTCACTGCGGAGCCCTTTTAGACCAGTTGTCATATTTCTTTTCACACAACTGTCTAAGGCTGAAGCAAGACAGTCCTTCCACTCTGGACAGATGAGGAGCTGCTGGACCCAAATCCTGAGCAAAGAATTGCTTTTGAACAAAATGTGTCTGTGTCCCTTTGAGGACCTTGGTTTTAGCTGACTGGCCTTCAGTACACTTAAAAATCCCTGGCAGAGCAGGAATTTAGAGCCAACAAATTTTAAACTCCTTTCAGTCCTTTGTATCAGCATGATGCCATCACTCTCTTCCCTCAAAATGCCTTCAGTCTAGGAGTGCAAGAGGACCTGGTAGGGCCTGGTGGGTACTCCAAAGTCTGATTTCAACGAAATGCTGCAATGGCCAAATGCTGCAAATCAAAAGTAGAAAGGGATGTGGGATAATTAAACATTCAGCAGGCATCACCAGCACTGTGGAATGACCAAGACAGGGATTTCATGGAACACTTAGTAGATGATAGCATGCATGCCCAATTGCCTCAGTGCATCTTCTTGAGGAGGATGAATTAACACTGCAGAAGTGTTAAGAGGTGCTGGCTATCTAGAGGATTCCTGACATCTGACTGTTTTGTCTAGTTGCATATTCAGGCACACAAGTCTTCCACACAGTTCTAAGAAGTTGTAAAAAAGAAGCAAATTAAATGGTCACAACAAAGCTTAGGAATGAACACAAGTCTCAAAGAGGGGGCAAGTAGCAGTCCTCTCCAGCTTCAGAATCAGAATTCACAAGAACAAACCTAACTCAAGGACAATGGTTTCATCATGGGATGGTGAGAGGTTCTTTAGAGCAACAGAAATAGATAAAAGCTTCTATTCAATGGCACCAGAGTTGGCCAAGTTGGATAATGGTTTGGACCTAAGTGTAAATGGATCTCCTTGTAATCTTAGACAACACTTTGCTGGATCAGGGCCAAACATATGTCATGCCTCCCTGCATTTTTGGTGACTGGTATTTTGGAGACCTTACTCTTTTTTCTTTTCTTTTCGGTAGAGAGATGCCTGGGCATTGGAAGCTCCCTGCAGCATGCTGAGGAGACGTAACCTTCTTACCACGCTCCTGATTGCCTTGCCATGGGCTCTTCTCCTAACTTTGTGGCACCAGTACCCAACCACCCACTACCTCAGCCTCCTGAGAAGTAAGTGCAAAAGTTCTGCTGTCAGTGTGCTGGTGGCTGTGATGACTTCTGCTGCAAACCCTCAGCAGGGATGCTCTCTCATGGGAAAGGTTAAACAAAGACAGACTTACCTGAAGGCCCCCTCTGGGTTTGCTGACAGCAGAAACATAAACTGTTCTTAAGAATGTGTTAAACATGCACCTTAGGCTGGTTTTGGAGAGAGGATGAAGCACTAACTCCAGATAGATGTGTGCCTCCCTGAACATGAGGCAGCCTGTTAGTTATTAGTCCTCTGACACGGTTTTTTTCCTTCTTTCTTCCTTTGTTTTGTCCTAGAAGAGACAGACGAGAACGTGACCTCTAAAGCTCTCCTTAATGGTACATCTGCACTGAGAGAAGAAGTCTTCCCATCATGCACTCGGCAGCAGCAAAGCGTAGGAGCAACGCCTAAAATCATCCAGAATTATGTGTACTCCAGGCCTCCCCCATGGTCAGACACCCTGCCAACCATCTTTGTTATCACCCCTACCTACACCCGGCCAGTGCAAAAAGCTGAGCTGACCCGTCTGGCCAACACCTTCCTCCATGTACAGAACCTGCACTGGGTGGTGGTGGAGGACTCTCCGCGGAGGACCAACCTTGTATCCAACCTGCTGGAGAAGGCTGGGCTCAACTTCACCCACCTCAACGTGGAGACACCCAAGAGCCTGAAGCTGGGTCTGTCCTGGATCCCATCCCACACGCCAAGGGGGACACTACAGAGGAACCTGGGGCTGCACTGGCTGAGGGACAGCTTCAGCAACACCGCACCACCAGAAGGCGTAGTCTACTTTGCTGATGATGATAACACCTACAGCCTGGAGCTCTTTGAGGAGGTAAGAAACATAAAATTACATGGGACAGAAAAGCAGAATAGAGCTGCAGAGCCTCTTAAGCCCAGTTGCACTTGCAAAGACCTCGCCCATTCTGCATGCAGTAGCAGCTGGGTATAGGGCAGATGCAAGCTGAAAGGGCAAAGAACATATTTGCCATGCTCTAGGCTGTGGATGTGAACAGCTGGAGTTCCTCTTACCAGGGACCACAGGATGTGTACCTCAGAATTTATACCTCTCTTCAGGGAGGTCTGACCTAATTTAAATAAGCACCTAAGACAAACTTCTGGCAAGGTGTAAATCTGCGCTGTTGTAGGGTTGTGATGGTTAGGGGATGATGGAAGAGTTGTCTGACTTTCTATCTACCTTTACTCCTTGGCTGCCCTTCAGTTCTCCAAGTTCCAGCCACCACAACAGGGCTGTGCTTCTGGGATCTCTGAAGCTTGCCCAGACTTCTGCTGGAGACCTGGTGTTGTGAGATGCCAAGCCTATTGTAAATTTGCAAAAATCCAGGAAACTCTCCTGTCACCAATTTAAGTCAAACTGTACTAAGTCACTTGAAGAACAGAATTATGCATCACAACATATTTCCAGTTTTCAGAGTTGTTAGGTCTCTGTTAAGCTCATCCTTTTTTACTATTTTTAGGTCCTTTCTGACAATTTCAATAAAATCCCATACTTCTAGGCAGTAGCCATGGATGGAAAAAAAAGGCAGGAGGTGGGGGGAGAAATTGGAATAGATGAGGACAAACATTAATCAGTCAGGGAGATTACTTGCATGAGTGTGAAGCTGGAATAAGTGGAGTTGGTAATACAGAGCTAGAGGCTTGGTAAAAGTAGTATTTGGCATTTACAAAACAGATAAAATTCTGCTGTAACAAAAAGGTAAAAGTTCAAATGGGATGAGAAAACCAGAGGTTTTCATTCTTCTGAATGTGGGCACAGAAAAGCAGTGAGTTTGTTGTTCAGAGGACAACGTGCTAAGAATTTGCCTTGTGGCTGTGGAAGCTGTAGCTCTTCAAGCAGCAGCACAGGTGAGCTGGAGCTTGTGCTGCCAAGAGCAATGTGACTGCATAGGACGTCCGTGGAGGAGGACAGGTGCCAATGAAAGCAGAGGATGGTGCACTAATGGGTTGGGACAGACGTGGTGGGGTTGAATTCTCACAGCACTGTCTCTTTCTGGCACACAGATGCGCTACACAAGGCGGGTCTCAGTCTGGCCAGTGGCTTTTGTTGGGGGTCTGCGATATGAATCTCCAAAAGTGAGCCCAGCAGGGAAGGTGGTAGGCTGGAAAACCGTCTTTGACCCTAATCGTCCCTTTGCTATTGACATGGCTGGATTTGCTATCAGCATCAAGTTGATTTTGGAGAAGCCTCACGCCAGTTTCAAGCTGGAGGGAGTTAAAGGAGGGTACCAGGAAACAAGTCTGCTGAAGGATTTAGTGACTATGGACGGGCTGGAGCCCAAAGCAGCTAACTGCACAAAGGTGAGTAATACAAGAAATCTCAAAGATACAGTCTCCTTGCTGGGTCCTGGCTGCTTTTACAGCCTCCTGCCATACTCTACCACCTGCCATTGTGCCTGCCCTATGTTGGCACATGTCAGTGCCAAATGATGCTGGGACAGACAGATGGACAAAGTCTGCTAAATTCTTCACAGATGTGAAGCTCAGAGATAGCTAAGGAGCAGTGCTAGGCATTCTGTGTTAATAAAGAAGGTCAATGTACGATTTGTGCCCAGATTGCTTCTCCAAAATCCAGGAGGATTGGCAGAGGGTTGAGTCTGGACTTTTGTTCTAAAATGATCCCTTCTCCTTGCCACTTTTTCATGTGCCCATGAAGTGTCTCCCATGATCAATCCTCTTCAATCACTTGCTTCAAACAGCTGTGAGCCTCACTTTTCTGAGGATCCCACCGAATGGGTGAAGTACTTTCATAATTTCCATGCTATTCAGAACGCCCTGAACTCTTTGTGCTTCCCTCTAGGTGTTGGTCTGGCACACAAGAACCGAGAGACCCACTCTGGTTAATGAAGGCAAGCGTGGGTTTACAGACCCCAGAGTAGAGGTGTAAGCAGAGAGCCAGCTCCAGGGTGTGAGTATCTTTGTCTTTATTGTTTTTAGCAAGGCAAATAATCTGTGCCTGTTTCTGCTATTATTTCCTCAAAAACTATTTCCTCAAAAACTATTTCCTCTCTTCAATCACTTGCTTCAAACAGCTGTGAGCCTCACTTTTCTGAGGATCCCACCGAATGGGTGAAGTACTTTCATAATTTCCATGCTATTCAGAACGCCCTGAACTCTTTGTGCTTCCCTCTAGGTGTTGGTCTGGCACACAAGAACCGAGAGACCCACTCTGGTTAATGAAGGCAAGCGTGGGTTTACAGACCCCAGAGTAGAGGTGTAAGCAGAGAGCCAGCTCCAGGGTGTGAGTATCTTTGTCTTTATTGTTTTTAGCAAGGCAAATAATCTGTGCCTGTTTCTGCTATTATTTCCTCAAAAACTATTTCCTCAAAAACTATTTCCTCCAGTAATTCACCATGCCACCCTTTGGACAAGAAGTAGATTCTCATCTTTATCCATGTATGCTCTGTATTTCTTGCACATTCAAGCCTCCTTGCAGACCATATGGGAGTTTTGCCTGACAGAGAGAAAAGAAACAGCAGAATTCCCCAGTTTCACTCAGTATTAATGACAAGCCAAATTTTTGCCCCTGAACTCTTTCATCCAACTGCAAACTCCCTTTGGTGTGGGAGTTGTCCTACAGCGTGGAACGAGATTACGCTGCTGCAGGCAACCTTTTCTCCTGGCAGCCCTGCCACCTGTGCAGTGCTTCATGCATCTCCCTTCAGCTTTTATCCTGCATGAACAGCTGGAGTGTGGGTGCAGCACAGAAAGGCTGATGGAATGCTCAGAGCACCTCAGAACAGGAACCAGCAAAGCACAACCTACACAGACTCTCTCAGTTTGAGGTGCTGGGTACCAATGATCCCAGAGCTAGGAGTGCATCTGCTGCTGAGGAGAGATAGTGAATGCACTAGGAAGGGCCTTTGCAGTTCACAGAGCCAGGTTCAGCAGCAGGATGGGGGATTATGGCAACCACCACGGGTGAGGCAGGAATGTATCAGAGATCATTGATATGTTCTTAGAAAGAGAATGATGATGAAGAAGCGTCCAGATGCCATGCCCTCAGATCTCAATGGCAGATTGCTGCCCCAAAAGTCCAAAAGGAATAAAAAGTATCCCCATTTCAGAGTACCCAGCTCTTTCTGAAATCAGTCATAACTGTGTCAGGACACAGGATGCTGAATGATTTAGTCCTACTTTGGAAGATATTCCAGGAGTGCTTTTAGTTTTGACCCCAATATACACCTCAGCTCAGCTCTACTGGTGGAAGGAAAATTGACAGCTTTTATACAGGCAGTCATGAGCATTTCAACTCCTGCACTGATCTCCTGTGTGCTTCACTAGTAGCTGCACTCAGCATTGCCAAGCACCTCATCATCTCTGAGTGACAGCCACACAAATAGTGCAAAGCAATCCCAGCAGCAGATGGAAGGGACTGGAGTCAGTTATCTAAACACAGACACCTGGTGCCACCATAGGGACCCTGGGGTAGCCTACCTGTCCCTCCTGCAGGGCACAAACCCTGTACCATTTCTGACAGTTTTTTATTAATGTTACAGATAGCCTAGAAACCCATAAATGATGCAAGGTACCTGTGCTTAGGCAGCAGCTCCTCTTTTCACCAGTGCTTTTGTGAGATCCACTAGCAACAACAGGCTCATTTTGCACACTCACCCATGCTGAGTCTGCAATTGCCTAAAGCTATGATTGCCCTAACTCAGCCAATAAGGACTCACAGTCCAGTTAACTGCTCTGGAGGAATCACTTACTTTGTCCAGGATGAGCAGGCCTATAAAAACTCAGATAGATTAGACCCTCCTTGCCTACTTGCTGGAGGAGGGGCTGACTGCTCCATTGGAGATGCACAGCGCAGATGTAATGTTTTCACAAATGTGCCATTTTTGGATGGGCTCTTTTGTCCTCATCTCTCTCCCTGGCCAAACACTCAGCTATCCTCCATAAGAAATGTAATGCACCAGCTATGGAGTCTCGTGAGAATGGTTTCCCATGAGTGATTTGTTGTGGGAAAGGAAAGCAACCAGCCTAAAAGACCAAGACACTGCCACAGATTTACCAGCAGGACTTGCACCTTAATCCAAGCCATCCTCTCCAATGGTTTCAATCAGATTGTTGGCTGGATCAGCCATGCAGATTTTTAAGGATCTTTGTACTTGCATTAGCAGTCACTTTGACCACAATCCCTTCTGCACCACTGTCTGTCATGTGGGGCAGCTGCTCTGACACATCAGAGCAGGTTGGCAGGTGGCATCTACTCCAGGAGACACATGCAAGGTAAATTGGTTGACAATCAATGGCAATCAAGCAAAATCATTAGATTTCATCTCTTAAAATTTTAAATTGAGATCTCTGCTGAAGGTTTCAGTGTATTGGAATTTCATACTGTCAAGGCTGCTGAGCTTCAGAACATTGATAGACATGATCTAAATAAGCCAGTGCTGAGAAAAAAAAGAGGCAAAATTGCTCCCCTGAGGATCTTCTGTTCTTAGACACAATAGGAAGAATGTTTCCATCTTTCCCTCCTGGCAATTAGTCCTCCTTGAGGATCAGATCAAGCCAGTTAATTCCAAGACCTACCAGATCCCTCCTTCCCTTTAAATCCTGCAGATGTGAGTCAGGCAGACATTGCTTGGTGTGGGATTTGGTACTCCCCTAATCTCTAATTGGACCAGCTGCATGGCTGCTTGCCGCAGAGCAGCCCCAAGCTATCACAGCACACATCCCTGCTGACTGTGTTGAAACACCTTTGAAACACAGGCTTTGCCTTCTGAGAAGAGGAGATGGAGGTTAATTTCACCTTTTTCTGTCATAAAGTCCTGAAAACTATCAAGGAAGACTGGTGTTATAAAAACTACCTATTCTTATTGCTAATTTTTATTTACAGGCATCCAAAAGAGAAGAGTGTGCTTAGGTTAGCATAGGACTCCTGCTGTTGTGAAATTTGGAAACAAAGAAGGTTCATCTGCATTTCACAGCTTCCAGACAGACTGAATAGATCCTCAGATCTCATCCTCCTACTCATTCTTAAAAAAAAATTATCAGAGAAGTTAAAATAATGACTTTAAGTGCAGACAAAAAAAATCTGTCAGAAACTTTCTCTAATTCGTAAATAAAATCTCCTAGTTAAGACTGTAGTGCAGAGAGAACAAGCAGCTCTTCAGCCATATCCCAGCCCAAAGCCATGCACAGTGTGGTTGAGGAGCCTGTTCACTGATGCCTGCAAGGTGTTTGCCTGAGCCGGGGGGGATAGTTGTGTTTACACCTTCTTACCTCACCTTGTGTTTGTTTTGACAGAGGCAGAGGGCTGTGATTGTTCCTGAAGTTCATCAGCAACCATAGCAACTGTGCATCCTGCCTGTCCTGCCCAGCGCTCTGCTCCACTGCTGGAGGGTGATAAACACCCCAAATGTCACCACTCCAAACAGCTCCCATTGCCCAAAGAGGTGGTAATAAGGAGGGACAGAGCTGAGGTGATGCTCTGAGATCCTCCCCACCTAGGAGAGGAGTGCTTCCCTTCCCCACTGGGCCCTGTACTTTTAGCCATTTGTTAAAACTTACTAGATGTGATCTTCATTCTCCTCTGTGCTAGCACAGAGGCTGAAATCCAGGATGGGTGTAGGTGCCTCCAAAGGCCTCTTCTGGCATTTTCCAAAACCTGAGCTTCAGTACAGCAACTGCGAACTGCAGTAGTTCAAGGACAGGAGTTGTCACTAAAGCACAAACATGGACTTGTTGGCCTGAGGCTGGTGTGCTCTCAAAACAGCTTTAAAGCAAGGCTGGCATGAGAGTCTCTCCCTCTGAGGGATGCACTCTGACATGTACACAGATCAGCCTTCATTGCTGCAGAGGAGGTTGTGCTGACGAACCTCATGTGGGGTTTGGGAGTTCAGAAGGGATGTGGTGCCTATCCCTCAGCTCAGATCTTGAACTGTCCCTGCTTAAGGTTGTTTTGGAAAACTCCATCTGAGATCTCCAAGCACAGACCCCTCTGGATGAAGTTCCTCTCCTGCACTGGGAGGCGTGGCAGGTACTGTACCTGAGAGGCCATGCCTCCGTGTCCTGCAGCAGACAGCAGAAAGCAGGGGCAAAGATGGGCGGGCTTGAACATGTTCAAGGCCTGGAAGCCTGCTGCAGCACCATCAGGTGCTTCAGGAGCCTCAAATCATGTGCATGGACTTGCTTCCTAGACCTCCAGAGAGGAAGACAACTCTCTGAGAGGGAGGTGGGCGAGAACTGCTCAGAGAAAAGGAACCCTCAGCCTGCACTCATCTGCTGTGAGAGCATCAAGGAATGTGGAGACATCATCGGAAAACCTATCTTGAGCACATACATGACAACTGAAATAACAAATGTGGCAAGGTTTTTCAGCTGAACTTTGAAAGGAGTGTGTGGTGCTGTGAAGAGAGAAGAGTCAGTGTCATGTGGAAGGGTTTCCCTTTCCCTCAATAAAACAGGAAGACAGACAGGTGGGAGGCAGCCTACAAAACAGGAGGTGCAAATGAGGACCGAAGGAAGGATGCACTGGATTAAAAGCACAAGTGTTGGTACCATATGTGTGCGTGGGGAGTGGTGTCACTGTGACTTTTCCAGGAAGATTCCTTGAATGACCCAGAAACCCCTCTGAGCAGATCTTTAAAACCTTCTTCACTCAGGCCATGAGAAACAAGGCTTAAGGCATTCAAAACATATCAAGGATTTCACAGCTGGGAGAAAGTTATAAGCAACTGAGTCATCCCTTGCCCAAGGAATTCAGGGCTAGCAGGAAACTTATTTATTTGTTGATTTATTTATACTAGAATTCTTCTCTGCCTATTCCTTGTTTAGCTTTGGTTTTTTAGCTTAGGTCACATGACATATTCATGAAGAAAGAACATTTTCCCCCTTGCCTCAGAACAGCAGAGCTTGGTGTTCACCGATGAATGTCATATGTTCTATGCTCCCTGGGGTTTCTTTACAATGGTATCTTAAACTGGCAAAATAACCAGAAACACAGCAAGGGGGGCAGTACAGTGAAGGAAATTGCAGTTCTTTTATGCAACAAATGTGGGTGGCACTAAGTTTCTGGCTCCCAAGCAATCACACTGAGGTAAAAACATGAGCAAAGGACTGCCTCACTCAGCAGACAGCCCCCATGGGTGCTCAGGAAGCCTCCATGAAGGGGGCTCTTTGAAGGGTATCTGAGGAAGGGAGTTGGTCCATATTCCCTCAGTGGAGAAGGAGCAGCCATGCATCCTCCTATAGGAGGGGATCAAAGTATGGCAGAGGCACAGGGGATGAGATGCCTCCTTTCAGAGAGAGACAGGAGAAATCAAAGAATAGGCAACAACTACAGAAATGGAAAGTGCATTTAGTGAGGCTAAGGCCAGGGCCTGTCTGGACGAACACACCAGCAGTACAAGGCCACCCTGCCAGCTGTCTCAGCATGAAGGAAATACTGAATGGGGTGAGAAAGCAATGTATTCTCTGGACTGTAGAAAGGTCCTTACAGAGCTTACTGGAATCTGATAGCATGAAGTCCAGCATCCACAGAATGAATTTCACTCTGCATTTGTCAGAGCTTTTTGTCCTGCCGTCTGCAGAAGGTAGCAGGGCTTGCACTCCTGTGGGCTTCACCAGCCCATCCTGCCACAAGGCAGGTGGGTTCAGTGCTTCCACCCAGCATTAACCCAAGATTAAGTCCCCTTCTTTGTGGTTTCAATGAATGAGCAAGAGCGAGGGAATAAAGGAGTTGATTTATGATCGTCCATTTTCTCCTCTGAGATGGGCAAAGTTTCTGCCCGTATGAACAGGAGGAGATGTGGTGATTAATTCTCTGCCCTTTAAGCTCACTCAGGTCCTGCATAGGATTTAGGCACTGACAGTGAGTGTTTGTAGCAAGGATCTATTCCCATTGCAACAGATCCCACCACACACATGTTTTTAGAGAGCTGTTCTCTCTACATCCTTACAAGAAAGCAAAATTACTCTTTCTGTATGCACTACACTGTCAGTTCAGTCTTGGTCAGAGTCAGCTCTCAAGACCAGCCCTATTGCACCACCTCCATTCTTGCTCCAGCCTGACCCTATGGAGCAGACCTTCTGTGAATCAAGAAGTTCTGTCAGTCACTACACTGTGCAGAACCGAGACCTTGGCTGGAGAGCTGACATTCCAGGCTAGCAGACAGATGGACCTGTTCAGCACAAATACTGCGTTCCCTGTAGAGCAGCCAGAGGATAGCAAGGACTGCTGCTGGCCAGGCCATATCAGCTAAGGGTGGGTGAGTAACAGGCACCACAGGTTAAGATGGTTGTTTGTCAGCAGAGCTGGGTGGCAGAGCCCAGGACAGAAGCAGCTGTCAGGGTTGCAGGCTTCAGGGGAAGTGAGTGCAGTAAGGAGGGAAGCCACTGATCAAGCCCAAAGTGTTTAAATAAGAGAAGGCATCCCAGCGCCTGGTTTTTACTAGCATATTAGTACCTGATATTCATGTTCTCTGAGATTCATCCAACTCACCAACCAATGAGTATTACTAACCTTTCCTCTTGCAGAAAATACTATTGATGAACAAAAGAGAATGTCGAGAAAGTACTTTTTAATGGTTATTTATTTATATTGAATGGTACTAGAGCATTATTAAATATGATGTGAATAGTATGATATTGCATTGTCTTGTCTGCAGCCTAAGGCCTTACTCCTTTTCCAGGAAAACACAGCGGAATCTATAATGGGAAAAGTATCTATTTTAAGTGTTCTCATTTCAAGGCTACTCATTTCACTCTTCCTCTGACCTAAATGTTACAAGCAAAAGTCAAGCAAAAACATTTCAGGTCCCTGAGACCGCTGCCTGCATTATGGAGATAAAGGAAATAGGAAACAGGAGAATACAGCCTAAACTCCAGATTCTCATGGCATCTCTAGCAGTCATTTTGGGCATGGTGCCCATCACTACTGAGATTGCTCTGTAAAGACACTGGCCATGACTCAGAAGTGAGTGGTGGTCAAAACATAGGGCAGGCAGTCACTTCTCCATCCCGAGGGGAAGGGTGCCACAAGCTGTATTAGTGAAATGTCTGTTTGACAGGAGCCCACTGTTGGCTCTTCCAGAACCTAGCAGAAGCTTGGATATCCAGGTTCTGTTTCTAAAGCTCTCACTAAATTACTCTAGCACTGGTCCAAGGTACATGATATCAGTTATCCGGGTTTTTTAACAGCAGGGCATCCACCTCTCAGAAACATGGAAGCAGTTTTAAGACTCTTCTGAGGAAGCCATGCTGAAAATTTAGCATACTAGAGAACAAGCCAAATTCATACCTGTGTAATAAAAAAAAAATCACAAAGGTGCTGCTAGAAGAACAATGTGACATTTACAAGCCAAGATCCCGCAAAGGGCTGAGAAAGAACTGCTGTGGCCAAAGTGCTTGAAACATGCACCTCACTAGAAATCACAGTGTCATGGTTTAAAGCCACCTCAGTCCCCAAAAATGAGGGACAGCTCTGCTTGGCTGAAAGCATCCACCTATAGAAGGACTAATGCTACCTTCCTGTTGCCTCAATGGAAACCCTGGGGACTGAGAGGGCCCTGGATAATGCACACTGACCAGCACTGTATGAGCACCCAGCACTGGTGTCAACCACTCTGTTACACCAGCTGTTCCTCCCCTCCTCGGGCCCTGCATTTTCAAGGCAAAGCTTCCTAAAGCCATTTTGCTGCACTTTCAGTAGGGATCTAGTGCAGCCCCCAGGAGACAGGGCATGGAGGAGAAAGGGAGAGAAAAAGAGCAAGCAAGAATGAATTTTATTAAACAGAGTGAGGCACTCCTCTCAGTCTCTCATCATGTTCAGGCCTGATTGGAAGTGAAAGCGCATTTGGAGGGAGGGAAAGCCCCCTCCCTTGGGACAATCCAGAGGCTCTCGCACAAACTTAATTTCAAGCTCTGCTGAAGATGGTGTTTGGTTTGGTTTGGGTGTATTTTGGTTTGGGTTGGGTTTTTTTTTTTGGTTTTGTTGGGTTTTTTTTTTGTATGCATTCAATTTAATTTCCCAGGGAGCTGTGTGAAAATGAGAAAGGCAGACCTTTGGCTGTGAAGCCAGCCCAGTGCCTGGTTCTTACAGATCCAGTCTCACATTGTTTTCCTCCATCACTGCCCTCAATAAATCTCTGCACAAAGGTTGCTAAAATTCCCCCCACCTCCCTTCCACACTTCAGTGGAGACAGTTACATTATTTTTTTTGCATTTAAGCAATCCAATTCATTTTTAATTCCAAACACACCCTACTTTCCACAGCTCTGTTTAAAACAGGAGCACTGTGACCTTGAAAAGGCTCAGACCTGCTGGCACCATGAAGTTCTGACCTGCACTTTGCTCCTCCTGGCTTGCTTTCTTTCTGGTGAGGAAAAGGCTCGTGATTGGGTTTATGATCCACTCATTTCAGTGCTGATGGTTGAAGGGGAAGGAGAGGAACTTTATTTGGTTTGGAAGGTTCCTGAGGGAGACACACCTGGAGATTTAGCTCTCCGAGCCCGCACAGAAACGTGCTGGCTGGCTCGTCTGCAGACAGCTGATCTGCCTAGCTGTATTTAGTTTTCCAGGCTGGAGAACAAATATACACACAGGTGAAAATACAGATTAGGGTAGGCTGTTTTCATCTGACCTCATTCTTCTGCCCAAGAACTGGCACAGGGTGGTAATTTTTACAACCAAGCCCTGACTGCAAGGAAGTTAGCAGAGCCACTGATGTGGGGCAGCTCTAATGGTTCAGTGCTCCCTTCTCCAAGACATAGGGAAGCATTCATGCTTTGTTCAAATTCTTCCTACACTGAGATTTCCTACTGTGACCCAAGGAGGGATTGCAAGAGAAACATAAAGCACTACTGGTCCTGAAACAATTACCATCTGCATCCCCAGGTCATACCACGAAAATCTTGATTCCTTTCTTTGTTTCACAGCTGATGCAGAGATTAATTCTTTCCTGTCCTTGGCATTGTACTTGTTGGAGCTACCAGCAGAACAGCGAGTGTTGCTTTGTTTTATGGAGGGGAAGGCAAGCAGGGTGGGTTTGCTGTGATTGTAGAGGGAATGGCACAAGGAGAATGTAAACAGTAGAGGCTCATTGTGGTGTACAAAAAAAAAGCCACCTTTGTGGCAGCAGTATTGTGCGGACTTCAGTAAAGCAAGACTTTGCCCAGGGAAAAGAAAAGTTCTCAACATTTTTTATTTAAAAACCCAATTAAGTTAAAATTAAATGTGAAATGATGACAATTTGTATCCAGGCCTTAAGCAATCCACTTTAATTGAATAATGGGTTGTTCTGCACAGGAGAATGACTGAGATCAAGTTTCCCATACATGTGTCTCATACATCTCAGTCCAACTCTGAAGCAAGAGTACTCCCAACTCCTCATAAAAGTGGTATCACTCTCTCCCCCCATCTCTTTCCATGCCATCCCATTTGGAAGGCAAACAGCAGCCACGAACCACAGAACAAGGGACCACTGGCGACCATCATGTCCACCCCTCCCACTCAAGCAGGGTTCCCTAGAGCACGTTCCTCAGGACTGTGTCCAGGCAGCTTTAGAATCTCCCCAGGGAAAGAGACTGGCAGTCTGTCTGGGCAGCCTGTCCAGCGCCCAGTGCTGTGCCTGGCCTGGGCCAGCACTCATGGGCCGGCTGCCAGGCCAGTGGCTGTGCCTTGGAGCGGGATGCTGGGCTCAGGGAGCCTGCTCCCCCTCACAGATTTCCTTTTAACCCTCTCCCCAGTGCAATGCCAAGTCTTCTTTGTAGCCGTGTAGGAATTTAATCTGTAAAATGTCTTTTCCTCTCCTGCATTGAAGCAAAAGCAGGCACATGAGAGCAGACAAATGACTGACAGCACAATCTAACCCCATCTCTTTACAAAATCAGCCGGAGGAGAGGGGCATAAAAGCTGAAATTTTTCAGGGCAGCATGGCCGTGGCAGGCCTCTCACAGTGGCCAGGCTGCTGTGGTCCCTTTTAGGCACTGGCTGAGGTGTATCCGTTCCACAGCATCGCCTAATAAATCACTTCGGAAAAGACCTCTGAAATCATCGAGTCCAACCTATGGCCGACCACCACCACGGCAACTAGCCCACGGCACCGAGTGCCACGCCCGGTCCTTCCAGGGACAGAGACTCCACCACCTCCCTGCGCAGTCCATTGCAATGTCTAAATTTCCATTCATCTCTCCCTGACCAGTTTAATAACCAATTTAAAGTGGAGACAGTCGGATGTTCATCGAGGAGACAACACAGAGTGCAGTTCGGCAGCCACCCCATTCTCCCTCCTCGCACACAGCGGCGGCCGCTGGGGGGGGAATGACTACATCTCCCAGCATGCCAGGCGGTAGCACCGCCCGGCCGGGGCCCGCCCTGCATTCTGGGAGCTGTAGTCTGGCCGGAAGGCGGGCGGGGGAGGGCGGGTGCTGCGCCTGTGCCACAGCGAGCCCGTGCCGCTGCCCCGGGGCTCCGAGCGGCGAGGCTTGGCCAGCTCCTGCCTTCTTCCAGCCCGCCTGGCACCGCTCGCACCGGGAAGGGGAGGTCTGGCTCTCGGCGTCCTGATGAAGCCCAGCTAGGGGAGCACGCTGCCGTCTCAGAAAGTTGGAGGAGAAGAAGGAGGGGGAGGAGGAGGAGAAGGTCTGCACCGCGATGTAGCCCAGAGCGTGGAACGGCAGCCCGCGGAAGGCAGTTCGGCTCCTCACCGCCCTGATCCTGGAGCATGGGCTAAAAACTATGTTCCTCTCCCGTATGGAAAACCATTGTTTCCTGCTGTTTGTGTTTGTCTTCCAAGCAGTATTTATCCTGATCCTGTACCGAGGCGGACCTTCGCGTGCGTTCCGCGGGTTTTTCGAGTCGCCTCAGGTGGTGGATTACTCGAAGCGCCACGATGTGTACACAAACCTGAGCCTGTTCACCCGGGCCCCCCGTGAGGACGCGATGCCCTACTGCTCAGCGCGGTCCCCAGTGCTGGGTAGGTATGAGCCTCCAGAAACCACGGCAAGCTGCGTGACAGAGCCCCTCTCATGGCCCTGAACGGGTCGGAAATGGAAGCTGTGTCTTCTGCAAACTTTGGAACAGGTGTGCTGATGTACTTAGGCTGACAAAATTTAACAATGTGTTGGCAACTCGTGTTGGTTTTATTGCTTGTGTGAGGGTAAGTGTTTTACTGGCCTACAAATTTCCAGTACTGAGAGTTTGGTTACATAGATGTCAGCATTGTAGATCAAGAGTGAAAACAGTGCATGGTGATAATATCAAGTCAGACAGACTTTCTTTTTTTTTTTTTTTTTTTTTTTTTCTTGGCAGTCCTGTGTAAAATGACCCAACGATTCAGAAAATGCATAATATTGACCTCTGACTTTAACTCCTGGATTGTTTGTCTTAGCCTTATATCAAGCCTGTAGTTCAATATAAATTTATTAAGTTGACTTGAAATCAGCTTAAGGAGGATGTATGAGGATGGCACCTTGCTCTTCGTGGTGATCTTCTAGTCTATGATTGTTACACATCCTTTAGGCTTAGAAACTTCTCTGTTAGACTAAAAGTCTGGTCACAGGTTAATTTGTATTGACAGTAGGACCAAACCAGAGCTGATCTTAGAAGCAGCATTCATCCAGCTGTGGCAGCTCTAAAACAGTTGAG